TGAGACTACCCCGGAGCTTACCGAGAGCATTACAACAGCCAAGTTCGCGCTCAAGTCATCCAAGCTCCTGCTGGAAACCATGATCGAGGGACGTGACGACTATCGGATGCGACGAGAGGACATTATCGATTCCATTGTTGATCTCACGAAGCTAATTAAGAATGCCTGCATTGTGCCTGTCGTTCAATCTCGGCGGTCTGGGGAAGCTCAAGACCTTTTCACTGCAGCATCGGCTCATAGGTCAGATCTACAGATGGTGCTGCGACTGTGTGGAGCAGTACTTACCCGCTTTGCTACGCTGATGGGCAAATATAATCTGCCGGACCGGGCACTCAATACTTTGGAGTATCTGACGTTGGAACTGCTCGTTGAGCAGAATAGCGAGAACGAGAAGGATTCGGTGTTTAGCATCAAGAAGTTCGAGCATTTCCGCCAGAAAGTTATGGATGTTCTTGCCCAGATTTTCGCTCGATACCCAAGCCAACGACAGTCGATTCTAAATGGCATCCTGGGCAACCTGGAAAAGCTACCCGACAAAAAAGCGAGCGCGAGGCAATTCTTGTCGGCTCGTGAAGTCCCGATTATGACGATATCTGCACTTTTCATGCGATTTGTCCAAGTGGTCGCAACAAATCCCAGCACTCGTCTTGCGTCGCAAGGCGAAGACGCGGCTGTTAGCATGGTTGAAGACGATGTCAGCGATTACGAGCCTGGCCAAGCACCCTCGAAAGCCCCAAAGAGAGGCGCCGGCCGGGCGCCGGCAGCGATTGCTCAAGACTTGACGGTGGAAGCTACCAGCACGGCAATGTATATTGTAACCCAACTGTGCGACAAAGCCTCGAATACTTCCAAATCAGGCGACAAGCCATTCCGCAACCTTCTGGACTTATTCATCGACGATTTCTGTAACGTCCTTGGTTCTCCCCAGTGGCCGGCTGCTGTCATACTTTTGCAGAGCCTCTTGGTTCGTATGGTCAACATACTCAAGGACGACTCAGCAAATAAACACTCTGTGGTCGACAAAGACATGGCACTCACAACAATGGCGAGGATCGGTTGTGGCGTGATTGATTTCAGAGACCAACTCAAGAAGATGAAGCAAAGGCTGGACATTTCGCAGTCGGATTTGTCGTCAAGACTAGATCGTCTTGTGAATGACGCTATGAGTGAAGACGTCAAAGAGAGGGTCAATGATGTGGATCTTCTAGCTTTCGACGGCCCGTACCGCATGGTTCTCGAATCACTGGTCGATTATCTCGATTTACGCCCCTCCCAGGAAGACCCGCATCTGCAGGCAGCGACTGGCTGTCACATCAGCTCGTGGCTGGCAGCTGTCGTCAAGACCTTTCCAACAGTTCCAGAAGGAAATACAGATCACAGGCCGCAAGCAATACAAACTGTTCAGCAATGTCTGGAAAGCATGATTGCAGACCCCAAGTGGCTCGGTCAGAAGTAGTAAGTTTTCCAGCTTGTTCAGGCTCGTTCCCCAGCTGACGGTGCTTGATAGCAAATTCCAATCGGTGTCAGATGATCAGAGCAAACTCGCCGCGGGCGTCATCACTTTACAAAGCCAGGTGTGCAGGTACCTTTCGCAGATCGTCAACTATATGCAGGCATACGCCCGGGACAAGAGCTCTTCGAAGCTTCGGACGAGAGGAACAGCAGGATTGCAACAACTGCTGGACAAAGATCCTCGGGTCATCTCCGAAGGACATGTCATCAACATGATCCCATCGCTTAGAGACAGTTCACCGATGGTCCGAGAGGCGACGCTTTCGCTCCTGTCGAACTGCTTGGCCAAAGAACCATCTCTCGAGCGCCATGTGCTGCCACAAATTCTGGAAATGACTACAGATCCCTCAAACGGCCCCAAGAAGAAGGCCATCAAGCTACTCAAAGAGATCTATCTCCGCTCCACTTCAAATGAGAATAGGCTCAAGATTGCCGCTCCTCTACTCCTCCCTTCGCAGGATAATGAGAGTGCAATTTCCGAGCTGGGTCGCAACGTCCTAGAGGAGATATGGTTGACGGCAGCTAATAACAATGTCAAGACCGATGACAGTATACACAGGCTCAATCGTGCTCAACGAGCAGCCTTCATGGTAGAACTCTTGGACTCTATCGAGCATAGCGCTGTACATTTGGAAGCTTTCGAGAAATTTTTCGCTCATTGTCTGTCACCTGAAGCGAAGGGTCCGGCTTCTAACCGAAAGATTTGCGCACAGCTAGTTGTCGACTTGGTAGACGAAGCCATTGCTCCCGGAAGCGGTACGGATATCAAGTCTCAAGCTCGTGTTATGAACACCCTTAGTGTTTTCGCGAAGATCGAACCGACCCTGTTCACGCTCGACCATCTGCGGCATCTGAAGCTATACATCAAGACCATCGCCACCATGGATGACGTGGCCCTTGTGCGGCCAACGGTCGTTATCTTTCGGCATGTGTTGCCAACACTTCCCCCACTTCAGCATGCTTTCGCAGAAGAAATTCGAGCAAGTCTTCAGCGCAACGTTCCTAAGCTGGCTAAATGTGCATCGATGGGATGGCGTACAAGTAGAGAAACTCTTCTTGACGTCATTCACTGCTTGTGGGCTATCAGCGAGATGCCGGGCATGGATACTGACAAGATTTTTGCCACAATCTGCTCTGTCATATGCAACCTTAGGCCACTTTTGGACTTAACCAAAGAGCAGGCAGCCCAGAAGGCTGATACCATCATGTCCTATCTGATTCTGATTGGTGCTTTTGGTCAAGTTTGCAGCCTGGATCAACAGGTCGAATCGTTCAACAACAAGCTCCGCGCGTCCCTTAACAAGCACGACGGAAAAGAATCTCTGAAGAAGCACCTGGAGCCGATGTTGAACCAGAAGAATCCACCTCCTCCATCTCTATTCCTATTAGACACGGTCCGACCTTTCACCATGCAGATTTGGGAGCCGAAGATTCGCGAGCAAGCCCTGCAGAGTATGGGTGGCATATGCCAGCAGTCGCCAGAGCACTTCATGCGCAGTGAAGTGGAGAAGGTGGTCAAGCTTGTCTTTGTTAACGAAGGAAACGACACCCTGAAGCACATCGCACTGTTATTCTTCAGGCAATTCTTCACTGTCGCTGAGCGGCGCTCGGAAACTGGTGCGCAAATTGCAACCGGCAAAGGAGCTGCTAATGGCTCCGCGCGCTTGGAAACGTCTTTTACGGCTACCGGAAACGACCATGCCACGCTGCATCTGGCGCAGAAGTTCTTAGAATATTTCGTGAAAGCTGCGTTGGAGAACAAAAATGAGTCTGCCGTCGTTGCCACAGATATCATCGCTAGCATCAGTCGCCAAGGTCTTGTTCATCCAAAGGAGTGTGGTGCTGCGCTCGTCGCTCTTGCGACCTCGCCTTGGTCAAGCCTGGCTCGAGTTGCAGCCGACGAACATAGACGCATTCACGAGAAGCAAGAGTCGTATCTGGAAAAGGAGTACATGCAGGCCATCCACATGGCTTTCAAGTATCAACTAAACATGTTCGCTGATCCTCATGGCATGGTCGAAGCTACACACACTCCGAAGCTCGCGAAGTTGTTTGAGGCATTGAAGACGGGCAAGAAAGCCAGTCTCAAAAAGTTCATCAATAACTTTTGCAAACAAGTGGACTTCGACCTTTCAAAGCTGGATATGAGTGGCACTATACCAGAGGCTGTCTTGTACGCGCGCTTCTGTCTGGAGAATCTGGCTTTGCTCGACTTCCCTCACCTGGAAGAGCTTGCTGTGTTCCTTCATGCAGTTGAAGCGATGGTCCTGAACACCACAGGGCCCGCTATAGGGGTTATCATCGCGGATGAACTTCCAAAGCAAGACGCGAATTCAGTGCAAGCTCAGCCTCAAGATATGTTCCAACAACAAATGTTGGAAGCTAGTGGTGCAAACGGATTTCCATCAATGCTACCAGCGCCAATTCCGACAGCACCTCAACCTGCTACTCCAACAATCAACAACGACAGACTTCGTCAGATCACCACAGCTTGTATGATCCTGCAGATGGTGTGGGAAACTCGCACCTTTGTTCGAAAATGCTACTCCATGAAGAGTAACGCGCCCATTCCGCAAAAAGATTACATCAAGCCTGCGCATCGTAACAACCTCGTCACTGGCAAGGAAATTTGGGAACGCTTCGAAACGATCATGCGCGCTCTAGATAGCCGCGAGAGCATGGTGAAACAATGTTATGACTTTGCAGATTTACTGGATGTTGATCGAGAGACCTTCATTGACGCCGAGGGAGACGATGCACTTGCTGCAGGGTATGAGACGCCAACCGAGACTGGCGAAGACGGTACGCCATTCCCTACTAGTGGTCGTGGCAGGAAGAGGAAGAGCAATGTCAGCTTAGGCAACACACCGAAGAAGGCAAGGGGCAGGCCTGCTGGATCCAAGAAGAAGAGGAATTCTCGCACACCGGATGGCGACGGCGACTCAGACTAGCAGCCCTGATCGGACAGCCACCGATTGCCTGCGAGGAAATACATTTGATACGGCGGAACCAATACTCCATCATCTCAACAAGCACATCAGCATCGTCGGCTATGCCACGCGCATCGGACACTTTCTTTTTTAAAAATCATTTCAGCATGCTTTCGGCGTTGAACGGAAAAGGCATATCATTGATACCCACCAGCATATGGTACATGGACAGTGTGTATCTGGCGTTTCTCATTTTGTGGCATCACAAGCTCAATAGCTTGGACGGCGATCTTCAGCATGTCATCATCGAAGCTATCCGAATCTAGAACAATATATTATCAAAAAATCCTATCGGGCTCTCGTGAAACGACCCACATGCGATGAAAGAGATTTCGCGACGATGAAATGACTTTTGTTCTATATGCGATTTTGACATCTTCCCTCTCCCATTACTTCTTGACCCATCCCGTGGCGGTCTTATGTTGTTTTTGTTATGTGTCAATGCATGCGTTTCGCGTGTTGACATCTTGTGAAGTCTTCATTGCGTATCCTCCATTTTTAGCATGCAACAAGCGCTTTTGTCTCCCCGGTGGTGAAGCTATTCCCCACGATATGATTGCCATGTATTTGCTCAACTTCCACGTCCTTTCCACCTCGCCCAGTGGCAGACAAATCTTCGTGTATGTCCCTCTCTTCCTTATCCAGGGTCAACGCATGTGTTGGGCCCGCACGATGCTTTTTATCTTTCGCGTCCATCTCGTCAGAAGACCGAGTAGAACTGGCGTCGCTGCTATACCGCCGTTCTCCCTTCTCCACATCCTTCATGCGCACTACATATGCACTGTGGTCGTCTTCTGATCTTGTAGAAGCACTGCTGAATTCCGCTCCCGGCCCCGCATCCAGAGTAGCCGCGTGTGCTATCACAGAGTCGGCCTCGGGAAACACGTCGGAAGATGGGTAATGCGAGGAGACGGCATCAGCCTCGGTGGAAGCAGATTGAACAGGGCCAGTTGCGAGAGACTGCAAGCGCGACTTCGAGCCATTGAGAGATGTTTCCGGAAACGACAGTGGTGGATGCGATTGAAGGCTTTGAAGGCGAAGCGCGCCGCTAGACGCTTCTTCTCGGATTTGTTTGCGCTCGTGGTAGGTAAGACCAGGTAAGAAGTCTGAGACGTCGATTACGCGGACATCTGTTGGTCCTCCCTGTGGTGTTTGTTAGCGGCGCGTGTAGGGGGGAAAAGCTGACTGTGGTACGTACGATGTCCATACTGTCTAGATTGGGCTTTTGCTCGCGTTTATCGCAAAGTACTGTCCGTTTTAGTCTTAAAATGACGCGATTGAATGCCATTGTGTGAGTTCGAGGACGCGTCCTATGGTGGGCTTCGGAGACGTGTGATTTGGTGCGCGATATCTCGTTGGAAATCGAAAGGAATATGGTACATGCAGCGATCTTACAAAGACAGCGGCGTTTGAAACGATTGGGTGAGAAAAGAGTTTACAGTAACGCGACAGAGGCCAGAAAATGGTCCAAAAGCGGCAGGATCGCGAAATCTAGTTCGCGTAGGAAGATGCTCGATAGATGCTAGTAGGTAATTACTAAATACGCGCGAGCGAAGGACTGAGAGTGTGGCACCAAGTCTGCCTTCTTCAGGCGTTGTCGTGGCGCTGGGCTATCCCTTACGAATTCGCCCTCATTGTTTCGATGCTGACATTCCTTTGCTTTCGTTGAGGATGTAACAGCGGGAGTGGGCGCCGCGGGATGCAAGGAGCTGGGCGAGCTTGGTAGCTAGTGCGTCTCAAACACGTGAACAAAGAACGAATCTGTGAATTGTAAGCAGAAAGCCTTACGGCGAGAAGCGTCGCATTTGGGAAACGAGACTAGTGGGACTGCGATCATGAAGCTGGTTATTAGTATTAGGCTTGCGAGTGCTGTACAGTTTTGCGAACTCTACACCACTATTTGCTCGAGGTGGATAACGTCTTTGAGGCCAACAATTTCCACTTGTTAGTAGATGTTCATTTCTACACGACGTTTCATAGCACTAAATAGGCGCTAGTGGGCACCCGAACATCTGTGGCATTCGACACTAACCCGAGAGGCGTGTTCATACGATCGGATGCGATATGTGCTAACAGCAATCTAGCAGCATCAAGGGGTACTTTAGTAAACCCGGTGTTACTGAAATTGGGGTCGACACTGTTACACATGTTCAAGGATTACCGACGGCGTGTGAACTGAAGTTGAGCAGTCTTCATTGTGCAGGATCTTTCTGGTCTGTGCTAGAATACCATTGATCGTCTCTCGCAAGGAGATCAAGCCCTCAATATGTTGACTTATCCGTGTCAAGTCATCTATTTCGGGTAGTCCTTGACGTGGTAGCTCTTGAGCTTGACGAACTGATCGAAGCCGAACTTGCTCAGCGTCTGGCCTCGCCCAGAGTCCTTCCACCCAACCCACGCCAGATCCTGAGTCGGTTAGTAAAGTGTCGTGTGTAGTCCTAGAATAACTTACTGGTGCGGGGTAGTCGCATCGGTTTACGAAGACTGTGCCAGCCTCGACGTCATCGGCAAGCTCATGACCCTTGTTCACATCTTTGGTCCATATGCTAGCCGTCAGTCCGAATTGGCTGTCGTTCATCAATTTGATTGCTTCTGCGTCATTCGAGACCTTCATGACCGGGATGACAGGACCGAAAGTTTCCTCTGTCATTACGGTCATGTCATGCGTGACATTCGTCAAGAGTGTCGGAGCCACATAGTTGCCATCTGCAGGTGGGTTCTTGAAACTGGCGTTGTCTGGGGTAGCGTCCTTGGCACCCTTCTCCAGAGCATCCTTGACGTGCGACTGGATAGTCTCTGCTGATCGCTTTGAGACTACTGGGCCAACATGTGTGCTCTTGTCGAATGGATCGCCAAGTTTGTATCCGCTGAGTACATCTTGAAGCGCTGATACAAATTCATCATGTATCTTTTCATCGACATATACCCTCTCAACACTGCAGCAACTCTGGCCAGAGTTGAAGACAGCGCCGTCTACAAGTTCTTCCGCGGCCCATTTGACGTCAACATCGGAGCGTACATATGCAGGATCTTTGCCTCCAAGCTCAAGACCCACTCGTAGCGGTACGCGGTCATTTGCAGCCTGCTGGACCGCAAGACCATTGGCCACCGATCCAGTGAAGCAAACCAGCTGGATCTTGGGCGAGCGCGCAATCGATTCAATCTGGACGATGGAGCCGCTGTGGAAGATTTGAAGCACACCATCAGGCAATCCGGCTTCCTTGAAGATGTCCTGGATCTGCTCGGCACTGGTAGGCGTTTGTGGAGATGGCTTCAGGATGACCGAGTTGCCGGCGAGCAGGGCAGGTACTAGCGAGTTGATGAGGGTCAGATACGGGTACTGCAGGTAAGTCAGCATGTGCCGACCAAAAATAGCTTATGGCCTGCACGCACGTTCCATGGAAACAAGATCAAGACGGGCCCAAGCGGGACTTTCTTGATGTAGCGCTTGAAACCTTTCTCCGCCTCGCCTGGAGTATCTTGAAGTGTCTCGTCACTAATCTTTAGTAGATATTCGCCGCGCATCACCGCTGTAGTAACTTCTTTGGCAGTGTACGCGATAGGACGGCCCATCTGCTCAGTGATCTCCTTGCCCAGCACATCCTGGCGGTCGTTGAGCAATTTCAGAGCTTTCTTGACAATCTCTTTCCTTTCAGCGAGCGATGTGCGTCGATAGGACTCGAACGCAGTGGCGGCTGTTTCAGGCAAAGATTGGAGGTCTGCATCTGAAAGGCCATTGCGCGTGACAACTGGCTTGTTCGTAATGGGAGAGATGGTCGTGATCTTCTCCAGCGACATGATGGCGTGTGTCTGGTATGTAGTTTATTTGGATAAATTGAGATGGAGACGCACGGCGTGTCGATTCAGTGGCGTCTTGGGAGCAGTTAATTTTGAGTTGAGGCTTTGCCCGCAGTCGCATCGGAGATGACGTATGATAGCGCTAACGCTAGCCCGTGCACGTCCCATCATAGTGGAGGCCTCTCATGGCTTCACGCCGAATAACGGACTTGGTTGTCCGCTATCGACAAACACCATGGCATGCTCTCCAGAAACTCAACTTGAACATACAACATCATTATGAAGCATGCTCGACGCGCGAGATGCACGAAAGACGCGTCGAACAACATTAATTCGTCGCGTTGGTCGCCAGCATCGACGCGCCGACGCTCTCCACGCAAGCCTGGTAATATTCAATCGCACGTGGACCTCCTATCTTGTGCAATCGGGTGTGTTCATAGCTACAGTCGAAATACTGGAGTGCAGATAGTGCAAATTCGGGCCTTTTCTGATCACCTTAGTAGTAGTAGCCGATGTGTACGGAAGCGACCAGGCAACGCCGTGTGCCGTTCAATACAGTGCAATCATATTCGATGGCCGCCGCGCCCTTATTACTTGAAGAGAACAGCATATTGGTGCGGCGTCGCCGATTCGCTAACATTGCCAAATTGTGAGAGTGCCACCCGCGCAGTGTGGAGATAAGAGCTACAAGACTTCGGCAGGTGTACCGGCGGTAACCTCTCGCTGGAGGCAAGGTCTACAGAGCCGGTCCCGCACCCACCACGTAACGTCCCGAGCGACTTGTAAGACTGTGGCACCTAGGTATGCTGCCCTTCCGGGCCAGGGATGCCGTCACTTGCGCCTTCACGACTCATCTTGACTAATTACCTCCGCCTTCCATCTTTCATCATTCTACTGTGGTCAGACCTTCGCAGGAGAAAGCAGCCGGGGAGATGTAAGAGAAGAGCCACCTCCCCATCCCAGTTCTGGTAAACAGCACATCTGCTCGACAGAGTTCACCCTAAAGGCCCATGCAAGTGACACGAGGTTCCATTCCGTATCGAAAGTTGAACTGATACTGGGAGTGTCCTGACCGTTCTGGGCTCGCCGGCAGTGGTGGCGAGTTTGGCTCCAATTTTGAGCGTCAGCATGGACTGCAGAAGATCATAGGTCGTACATGGTTCTACTAACGGTGCGTAGCTTGGCGGCATGGCCGGCCCTCGCTTGCGCTCATCAATCAACTCCACGCGTTGCATGCGGCGGCGGCGTCAAGAGCTGCGCATGCAATATCTAGATGTCACCAAAGCCAGCCCAATTCGGAGCTGGGGAGCCGTCGTGCCTTGCGTATCTACCCTTCCTGCTCCAGACTGCATGTATATGGCGGCCTACAGGAACGAGGGTATTGAGCTCAGGCTGGACAGTCCCTTACAGATTATCGTCCAGTGACTCGGTCTTGGGGCACAGACTTACAGTGGGGAACATGATAGGGCTCTCCACTCTTCCCTGTAACTTGCCAACCTACGCCCCTCCAGATGATCCGCGGATGTCGATCCGGACTTTCGATGAGAAGGCTGTCAGCACGAAGATCTGGACTTTGTTGAGTCACTTCTAGGTTGCCACTATCCAAGCCACCTGGACCCTTCTTCCGCCCTGAATGTCAAAGCGACAGCGAAAACACGATCCGACGAAGTACACGGTGCCGGCAATACTAACGTTGACTGACAGTGTCTAACACGAAGTCGACAATATAGCTCAGTCGAAGTTTGCGACTTTCAATCCACTAATATGCACTGCCTTCATGACCGTCTGTAACAACTTGGCCTTTTGATCACTGTCGAGCCTTGGCCCTTCAATCTGTCCCTGGAGTTACAGGACTGCTGGAAACAGTATTTAAATGATCCGATACAGTTGCTCCAGATCTTTGTAGATACAGACTGGGCGCCGGACCGGTTTCCTCACACCAGGCGGGTACGCGACACTTATAACGGTTTGTCATAAGACCCACAGCATACCACCTGGTAGACGCGATGAGCTCAGTACACCGTAAATCATCGGGGCTGATCACCTGACCTTCATTAATATTATGGAAATGAGCAGGCATATTTCGATCGGTAGTTGATGAGCTGTCAAACTCTTGTTCTGCTGAGCCCCAAGTATGGTACCATTTCCTGGCTATTAGTGGGCGGAAGAAGCTTTGTGAAAGACGGTCGTCCGATATTGCTTGGCTGTACATGCGAATTGCCTCATCTTCGGTGGCTGATCTGGTATTTCGAAACGTTAAAGAGACTACAGCAATCATGGTGAAAGTCCCCTGAGCTATTCTAGTTGCTACATGCAGACTCACTAGGTTCCGGATCCGACCTAGTAACGAGAACCTTGATTTCGACTTAGACCTTGACTGAAAGAGCTTACTTCGTCCAGGATGAATGCAGGCCAAGTCTTCAATAAAACGCTTCTAAGCCACCATGAAGAGCGGCACATATTTGGAATGCGGAGCGATCCGCTGGCTCC